AAAAAAAAAAAAAAAAAAAAAAAAAAAAAAAAAAAAAAAAAAAAAAAAAAAAAAAAAAAAAAACACGGAGGTAAGTTACTGAAATTCATTAGCAGAATTGATATATTTGTTAGATTATTGTTTTTTTTAACATATTTTGGAAATGTCTCTTTAATAATGCATGATACATGAAACTCAACCTGTCCAATAAAAAGGATCATTTCTTCTCAGTTGGAATGTACAAATGCCATGCTCACATGTTCAACTACATTAACATAGATGAACTAATTTTTTTTAAAAAAAAAGAACAGATTAAAGACAAACTCAATGTACAAAGAAATTAAGATCAAATTGACAAGTACCTACAAGAAGATTGTGTGAGATATGCAGCCTGAAGTTTATGAAAACAGTAATACTTCGAAGTTGTCTCAAGAATATGAAAGTTGAAACGAAAACAAGATTTCAGAAAATTCAAACTCTCTCTCAAACAGTCTGATTTGTATTTTTAAGCTGAATGAACGTTTTGATTACTAATAATCCATGAAACTCCTAATTTCTCGACGTGACGTCTAAACCAGACAGACTAAGAAACTGATTCAAATGTCATCATAAAAATCAATCTATATTGGCTCAAGTTCACCTGTTATATAAAATTTGAGAGTTTTGATTTGAACTTACCTCCGTACTTTCTGATTCGAACAGATTTGCTGCCGAGCTTCATCTAATCCATAAATCAGACGACGGCGGCCTCTCCGTCATAGCAATTCTCCTCCAAGACGGTGATTCCGATCCCCTACTCGAAAAGGTACATCGATGAATTAGTCAATTTCATCCTCTGGAAAAATACATATACAGAAAAGTTTCCTAAAGATTTAAAAATTCACAATCACGGCAACCGTAAATTCGTCCGGCGAAATTGCAGATACAAGGCAAATTGCGGGAGTTAACCAAAGAAAAATGCGGCAGCAACGAAGAGGCTCACATTGCACTAGGAGAACTAAACTTAAAGCACTTGAGGAAGAAGACTCGCAAATACTACAGATACATCGGCTCTTTCACAGTTCCTCCCTGCACCGAGAACGTCGTATGGACCATTCTCGGCAAGGTAAATCTAATTCAAATCTCCATTTCTCAAACTCTCACACGGCGGAACAGAACGTAAATACTTCATAGTTAGGGTATAACATCGTAAAAATTACCTCGCAGGTGAGGACGATTTCGAAGAAGCAAGTAGAAGCACTGAAGGCGCCCTTGGAACCACCGTATAAGAAAAACGCCCGACCGGCGCAGCCGCTCAATGGCCGAAAGATTGAGATCTACGACGAGCTCAGCGAGTACTGAAAACCTTTTCTCTCTCGCGCGCTTTTGCTTTGCCGCTCAATGAACAATCGGTTTAAGCAATGGAGAACTGTTTGGCTTGCGAAAGAAGTTCCCCATTACCATATAAAAACTTCAAAATGCAAAAATACCATTCTATCCTTTCTACTTGTAAGCTTCCGTGAATTGATTGAATTGTAATTGGTCATTTCAGAGTTTAATTTAGTTATAATATAAATGTCATATTATTTCCTTAGCTTAGGAAATTAGTAATGAATCCAAGTTGCGCCTAATTATGAACGGCTCGATTTAATCCTTGAAGTAATAATAATGGTTTGGGATAGTTGTTGACGTGGCAGCTGAAGTGAGCATTTTTCCATATTTTATTTTCATTCAAAATATTTAATTAACATTTTTTAAATTCAATAACTGAATTTATGATTTATCCAGTTTTTTATTTTCTTATTTTAAAAATTAGTACTGTAAATTAAAAAATTGAATAGTAATTAAAACTGCATCTACACATATTTTAATAATAATTTTCTCCCTGCATCATCTATGGTCCTTCCTGTCTCTGCCTTGCATGTTTTGTCTACCTCGATTATTGAAGCATCATATTCATACTGTCAAATTTTTTAAATCCTTCCTATCATTTTGTCATTTTTTTCTGTAAGAAAAATAAAAATTACTGCTGTAAGTAAATTTCAGTTTCCGTTTAGTCCTTCAACTATTTATTTTTACTGTTTACTGCCTAAGACTACCAAGTTATTTCCTTCTAAATAAAAGCCATTCTTCGAGTCTTAACCGAACACAAAATTTACATCTGATCATTTTTCCCAAAAAAATAATAATAATAATAATAATACTAATGAGAAAACACTTTTTTTTTTTTTATCTACAAAACGGCACCGTTTAATGCAAATGAAACTGAAAAAATAACTGCAAGAACAATAGGCAAAATTACATGTGGAAAACCGTAAGGCACTTTTTTTTTTTTTTTTTTTAAAAAAAATACTTACCTTGTGGAGCACGGGAGTGAGGTGAGAACGGTTAAACCAAAGTGCCACGTAATTCGTCTACGATACAAACAAAACAAACGGGCCCACAATAAGCCCACCTAATCCCGCGGGCTCCGCTGACAGCCCATGCCACAATGTACCGAGAAGCTCAGAGCAGCAGAGTCCGCCGCCCGTCGATTATTCTCCGTCGCCGACGACCCATGAACCGGATCGCCTTCCAGATGCGAACCGCTTAACACCGCCCAAACCGGGTGGTTCGATCTCGACGCTTCTTCTCGGAAGCGATCCCGCCGTTAGTGCATCGATGTTGGGCGTAATCTTATCAGGCGCTTTTGCTGCCGGCGCATCTTCCGCTATCGGAGCGGTTGATTTAACCCCTGGCGGTTTTTTCCAACCTCTGAAAAGATTCAGGAAAGTAGATAAGAAACCACGTTTAGCGCCTTTCTGGTCCGATGTTTCCTTCGGCAGCGCCGGTTCGGACGACCGCCGACGATTCTTCCACCGGCGACTCCGATCTCGCTTCGATCTCACTCTCCCCATACACGAAACTTTCGGCGATGCCGGTTCGACGACAGCAGAATCCGATTTTTCGGAAGATCCTGACTGTTTAGGGAACAACCTCGCGTTTCCAGATTTCGCATTGCGACGAGCCTTCGAATCCACAAAACAAGTCTTGTGAAGCTTCGGAAGGCCGAGAATCGAGGCCTTCGATTTGAAGTTCAATGAAAACCGCTGAGAATTCGAATTAGAAGGCGGATTCACACTAGGATTCAAGTTCGTCGAAGTCGAACTTCCTTTCGTCGAATCTTTCCTCTCGAAAAACGCGTTCTGATTTAACCAATCGAACTCCGCATCCTTCGAGAGCCAAAACGATTCCGGTGGTAAATCTGGCGGAATCTCCGACTTCTCCGTTACCTCTCTCTTCTCATCTTCCTGCCGGTGATCGCCGTCGTCAAAAGATTCCTCACAGGCGATTTTCCGGTCGTGAGCATTGCCACCGGCACATGCAGAAACCAGAGTTTCCAGATCCACTTGCGGCATAGTAAAACAGAGTGAACTAAACCAAACAATACAGATTCAGAAAAACGGAGAGAAGAATTCTTCCGGCTGATTGGTGCTCGGCGGCGCGTTGTGAAGACGTCTTTTGAAGATTCAACCAAAGAGAGAAATGAAAAGATATTTTTTCTAATTTTTCTTCGCCTATAAAAAATGGTACGGAAGGCGAAAAGCACAAAACGGCAGCGGATTGATGTGGAGCGCGAATGAATGACTTTATTTGTTGTATTTTTATTTTTTATTTTTCCTTTTTTCCTTTAATTATCTTTATAACACTAACTTTTTCCTTAAATCTTTTTTCCATTTCTCGGCGTGGCTTATTTAAATGGCTTGGCTCCGTCTCCAACATATCAAAAACTAACAACTTATTTATTATTTTCCATTTTTTAACTTATTTTTTGTCGGCATGTGAATATAAATATATAATAAGTTAGAAAACAAAAATTGGTCAAATTTTTTAGGTTAAATTATAAAATAAAATCCCTTTCAATTATAGGATTTGTCTAGTTTATACAAAACTTTGTAGAAATTTTGTTTTAACCTTGAGTTTTGTACTAAAGAACACTTCCAACGTTCCAACAAAAATTTGTATTTACTTGTGTGATTTAAGTGAATAAATCTAAATACGTATAAAATAAAATTTAAAAATTTAAAAAATCGTAAACAAGAAAAATAATTTAAGTAATGAGATCGAAAGGAAGAAGATGACAACTTATATAGTTTCACAAATATACCTAATGTCTTTGTTTGCATTTCATGTATGTATTTAGATTTGTTCACATAAGTCGTTGAGGATTATTGAGAGGAGTAGTGCCACATTGACTAATTAAGAGAAATATAATGGGTTTATAAGTAATTAGCACTATCTTCACTGGTATATGATTTTTTTTAAAAACCGAAAGTACTCAACATAGATAATATAGTATCAGTGCGAAGGTCTTTAATTCTTAACATGGTATCATATAGAACACAAACTCACATAACTCAATCAATTAAAATAATAAATGTCCCGCTGGAACATTAAATACTATTCACCTCTTATTTAATAATGTTGGCTTTACTATGTGAGTTATTTATAGCTAAAGTTCAAAATAAATATTTATCAATCTTACCTATGAATTTTTTTTTTTAGTTCTAAAAAAAATTTAAAAATGGAATTTTTGAAAAATATTAACGTCTCCTATTCAAAATTAACCGTAAATATATTCTGTTAAGAGTATTTTAATGATACTATTGAAACATGGATAGTATTTTTTTTTTTTTTTTTTTTTTTTA